GGCCCATTTTTTTTTTTTTTTTTTTTTTTTTTAAATATATCTTTTATTGATTTCAGAGAGAGGAAAGGAGAGGGAGAGAGAGAGCGAGATAGAAACATCAATGATGAGAGAGTCATTGATTGAGCCCGCAACCTGGGCATGTGCCCCGACCGGGAATCAAACCCCGATCGCCTGGATCCTAGGTCGACACTCAACCGCTGAGCCATGCCTGGCCGGGCAGGCCCAGACTTCTGACCTAGTGGGTGCCCAGTGGATGAAGGCCCCTTTGAGCTCCAGGCTGAGATCACCCAAGATCAGTCCCATCGCCTGGGCCCCAGGGATACTGGGGACTGCAAGCAGGAGGAAGGCGACAAGGTTTAGGGGACAGGGTGGCCCAGGCCAGCCTCACAGGGGCTGGGAGGAGACTCACCTTGCCAGAAGGAGAGGAAGATAACAGACTTGACCATGAAGAACTTGAGGACCGGGCTGTAGGGGCTGAGCAGCTCCCGCGTGGCGAAGTAGAACAGGAAGAGGGCGTAGAGGGCTAGGCTGACTGACACGTTGTAGATGATGGTCACGTACAGGTAGCCGCTAGCGACGCTGCAGGAACGAGAGCGCCTTCTGACTTGGACAGACCTTTCTGAGGAGCAAGGAGCCCCCCCTTGTCCTGCCCGTGCCAATTCCTATGGCTCAACCATGCTCCCCAAGCACTGCTCCATGAGCCACGTGATCAAAGCGGTCAAAACCTGAGGGGGTGCTGGGTGCACCTGCGGCATGGGACCGGCCAGCACCTCTGCTTCACCCACGGTGTGTCTAAGCCACCTGCCTGCAGCTCTGGTGACCACACTCCTGGTGGAGGGCACAGGCACGGAAGCCAGCGTGGCCTGGGGTGGGGAGCTCAGATGGCAGGAGTCAGAGTGACTGGGAGCTCGGCTTTGCTCTTTTCACTTGAGCCAAGTTACATCCCACTGAGCCTCAATTTGCTCACCTGCCCTGTTAGGCTGTTGTGTGCCAAGTGCTCGCCAGCACACGGCCGTGTGGTCACTTTCCCTAACCCCCAAATGAGATGTCTGTGGGAAGTTTACAAAGGAGAGGCTTTCTGCCCGAGGACTCAAGACTGGCCTCTCAGGGCTCCGGCCCTCTTGCTCCCTGCATTGAGAATGGTCGCCGTTCCTCTGGGCCCACGCCCAGGGCCCCACTCTGCAGCCCGCGTGTGCAGGGCATGGATGCTGAGCGACCACTCCTGTGCAAGAAGCAGGGCCAAGTGCTGCTGCCAGGCCTGGGCCTCACAGAGCAGGGGTGAGGGAGCCATGAGGAAGTCTCGGCCTCCTCTCAGAGGAAGTCCTGAGTGCGTGTGTGCGGCCACTCTGCGGCCACCTCCTTCCCTAAGCAGGGCACTTGCCTCTAGGCAGGGACATCTACCCTGGCACCGACATTCCTCCTCACACCCCCCTGCGGGGTCCGCTGCTTACTCAAAGTCACCGTCCCGGTACTTGCCAAAGGCCTGGAGGATCACGGTGCTGACAGCCATGAGTGGCTTCACCACACAGAACTGCAGGGTGGCCTGTGGGGGGAGAAGGCCAAGGGTCAGGGTGAGGGCAGAAACGACATAACGAGCACATCCTGTGGCAGGGACATCTACCCTGGCACCAACAGAAGAGCGAGGCAGCACAGTGTTGTGGAGGTCTCCTACCTCTGCACTCTAAGGTTGCTGCCAGCCTGCTCAGCCACTGAAGAAATTCCTTACCCAGGCTTTCACAATTTCCCACAGAGGCCCCAACCGAGGGGTGCCCACGGTGCCACAACATCACTAGAATCACCTTTCTCCTGAAATCATGTAAACCTAAGTAACAAGGCCCTTCAGTGGAGGTGGGAACAACTGAAAAGGCTCAGTTCGTGTGGCTCCAAATAAGGCAAGGACCCTGGAGCAGAGAACAAAGGCTGCTGAACCCAAAGTTCTGGGAATTGGAGCGAGGTTTGCAGGGGAGCCCCAGTGATCCGAGCTGTGGGGCTGCCACCGAGTGTGACAGGGGCTGGAGATATGATACTGCTGTCAGCACACCCACGGAGCTTCCCGGGTGTGGGAGTGGGGGGGGGGCACTGCCCCACCTAGAAGAGGTGGGACCAGCACCTGACAGAGGCGGAGCAGTCCTCTGCACCAGGGAAAGGTGCACAGAGGCTCCTTCTGTCCTCTCCTTTTTGTACCTCTCCCTGCCACCTCCGGCAACAACGGAGCCCACGGGGCTGGGGGTAATTTATAGCAAGGCGACTGAAGCTAGTGATCTGGAATCAAAACTTTGTACACAATATAATCATCAAAGAAGGCAGTGAGTCACAGGGGCCCTGGGTGGCCAAACCCACTGGTAAACAATGGCTCTGAAAGGCCCCACCCTGAACCCAGGACGGTTCTAACTCTTTCTGTGCAGGCCCAGTGGAGAAACTCTGAATTTAGAAAGAAGAAAGATTCAGAAGCAGACCAGAGACCTGGGAAGTCCAGGTAGATGCTCTGTGGGTGTGCTTGCTGGGTGTGCCTGTGCCCCCATCAGTGGCCCTACACAGAAGGGAGTAGAAAAGCCAGCCCTCCAGTGGCCAGTCATTGGCTGTGGGTTTCACTTCCCCTTGGGATTACTCTTGGAGATGCTAGAGGGGCTGCAAGGCCCTGTGGAGCCCCAGAGGAGACTGAGTAGAGGTCATGACAGCTGGGCAGGACACCTGACTCTCCCTCCCTGAATGAGAGGGTGGGCTCTGTGCCAGTGCTGTGTTGACGCTCTACATCCACTACCTCACCTGTTCTTTAAACCATCCCTTGAGATAAGGAACAGTACTCAAATTTTATAGAAGGAACTAAGGCTCAGAGAGGTTAAGTAACTTATCCAAAGTCACAGAGAAGAAGCTGGAAATCAAACTCACATGGTGAGACACCCAGGCCCAAGCACTTAACCACACACCACAATGCCTCCACACAGGCTCTTCTAGACCACAGGGAGGGCAGCTGAGAAAACCGAAAGCTGCTCTGCTAACTGGGAAATGGGGGGGAGATGAGATTGCACAGGCCTGTTGGGTCCTGTATCTTTAATGCAGAAACCCTCCTTCCCTCTGACCGCAGCTGGTGAGAAGTTTACAAACTGAGATTTTAGAATCTCATGCACTTCCTTTGATTCTCACACATACCGAGACTTGGTCAAAAGGAGCAAGAGTCTGGGACCACTTCTTGCCCAGGATGCCTGTCACTGCCCCTCTGAGCACACCCCATGAATGCAAGAGCATCCCTAACTGCTTGGAGAGTGGGTGCTAGGGCTTAGGGGGTCTCGCAGGAAATGGGGACTCCAGAGGTGGGGCCCAGGGCAGCCTGCAGCAGGGTCGTCCTGGCCCTATGCCTGCCTCTGCCACTGTCGAGTAGGAGGGAGCAGCACAGCCCGCAGCTGCTGCTCCAGGGCACAGACCCAGGCTTCCATCCCTGGCCCACAACTCCTTTGTTGTTAACCCTCACCTGAGGGTATTTTTTCCACTGCTTTTCAGAAAGGGAGGGAGGGAGGGAGGGAGAGAGGGAGGGCGAAACATTGATGTGAGAGAGACACCTTGACTGGTTGCCAAATGAACCTGCAACCCAGGTATGTGCCCTTGACCAGAATTAACCCTGCAACCCTTTGGTGTGCAGGCTGATGCTCTACCACTTAACCACACTGGCCAGGGTGACACAACTCTTGACTGGGGCAGTTGCCGGGGGCACACACCTGCTTACAGAACCGCAGGAATCCAATGGAGTAGGTCTTTCCCCAGAGGCAACACGTGCCATACACACAGCTGGACCTGGAAGAGACAAGCAGAGAGGGGATGGTGAGCAGAGAACCAGGACTTAGGAAAGGTGGGGCTGGGGGACGCCCACCCTCACATCCAGACAAGCCAAGGCAGGGCAGGGTAGGGTGGGGATGGGGCAGAGAGCCCAGGTAGCCTTTGAGCCTGAAGCCAAGCACAGGGAGACACCAGAGAGCATTTGCAACTGCAGTAAAGCAGGAAGGAGCAGGGCTGCACAGGCCTTGGGGTAACAAACCAACTTGAGAAGCACCAAATGTAAACAGTGCGAGAGGGAGAAAGAAACAGGGAAAGACGGGGAAGAGAGGGAAGGAGAAAGAGCCAAGGAAGCTGTCCCAAGAGTTCCAACAAATGCTCTTGCTCAGAAAGTTCAAGAGAGGCACAGCAGGTCAAGGTCACAGGCTTAGAGGGTCTGTATGTCCCGCTGCTGCCAGGACAGCTTGAAGAATGTCAGGCCCAGGAAACAGTGGTGTGGGAGGTTCCAGGGGGCTTTGTACTCACTCGATGGGCTTCCCTCTGATCTCTGACATGATGGAACTTTCTCCCCCGAGGTATTCATAACATAGGCTTAGGAAATTGTAGATGACCAAGGCTGTGAAAAGAGTGTCCACAGTCAACCACTCACATCAACAGGGTGGGTAAACAGATGGCAGAATTCTAAACGGCAACGAAAGTGAAAGAACCAGTCACAGGCAGCAACAGAGCGCCCTCAGGGACAAGAGAATCCACACAGTGAATATTGCACTTGTAATCAAAACCAGGCAGAGAAAAATCGCGTTTAGGGATGCATACACGCACTGCTGGTCACTCTGTAAAGTCAAGTAAGGAAGCGGTTACCACAAAATTCAAGACTGTGTGGGGAGGCAGGAGGAGGGGAGGTAAGAATGGGCATGGAGGGGACTTGGGGGAGCTGGTAGTATGCCTGCTCTGGGTTTATAATTTATTCACCCCCTGCACTTTCCTGTTTGTGTTGTGGATCACAATTTTACAACGAAACAACAATAAAACATTCTCCAGAGGGACCTCTGGAGACATTCTAAGCAAGAATGAGACAGCAGCACCTCAATCTGCTCAACAACCTGCAGTGGACCTTCGTCGGCACAAAACACAGGAGAGGTGCACGGGCAACAGCACAGATGCCTTGAGAAGCTGGGTTAGCTCATTCTGGATCAGGGCGCGCTGGACATCCCCACAGACACAAAATGTGCAACAGCGCCCGCCAGCAGAGGTATGTTGTAAATGCTATGCTATAAATATAGCAATACGCTGTCATGACTCCTGGTCAGAGACTTCTGCTGGGTCAGCAAAGTGAAGGCTGCTGCCCGCAGGGTGTTAGAGGCAAAGGGATGTGCCAGGAGTGAGGAAGGAGAGCGAGCGTGGGGAGAAAGAGTGAAAGGAGTGCGGCAGAACACAGCACAAAAGACGGGAGCAGGAGGGTCAGGGACCAAGGGCAGGAAGCAAGGAGAGGCGTCCAGCTGCGGAGCAAGGCCTAGGCGAGGGTCAAAATGGGCTCCGGGAGGGCTCCTTTTCACATGCTCCTGCCATTCCCTGCAGCACACCAGCCTCCAGGCTCCCTGGGGCAGCCCCTTGGCATGGTATTCAAGCTGACCATCTCCCTCAGCAGGTTTTGTTCCCTCCATGCTTTTGCACTGGCTGTTCCCTGTCTGGGGTGCCTTTCCCTCTGCACTCCCGACAGACCCCACCGCCCCTGAGAAGTCTCCGGCCACCACCCTAGGCCAGTGCTTCCTCACCCGTGGCCCCGCTGATGTGCAAACACTATACAGAACTCCACCTGGAGCACAGAAAATCCTGGCAACAGTCTGAGACAAACACTGGCCTGCAGCAATTTGGAAAGGAACATGTTTGGGGTGCTTTCCACCACTCACGATTGCTCTAACCTATTAAGGGCTCATGTCTCCAGCTGGGGTGAGGGGCCCCAGGTAGCACCCTCTATAAACATGAGCCACAGCACTTACCACACTGTGCTGTGACTGTCCCTCAGCAGGCACACAGCAGAGGGTTTGCCACTGGTTAGCTGTGAGCCTCAGTTTCCTCAACTGTTAAATGAGGACAGGAGTACCTAACCTTCACAGGTGGCTGTGAGGTTGAAGTGAGTGGGCCAACTCTTCCAAGTGGTCAGCACTCAGCAGCACTCTCTGAGTGTTGGCTGTCATACCATCCCTGCTACCTGCCCACCTCCCTCGGGGGCCAGCATCCCTTGATGGGACTGGGGACCCTGTGGATGGAAGCAGCTCAGGATGTTTGGTGATTGCAAGCATCCCCACTGAGCTCTAGATCACTCATCAATGACAAGAACTACTTTGGGGTATGGGGTGGGAGGCAACTAGCCAAATCTGATGTCAGTCTGCTAAAACCTTTGTCCAAAACCACATGAGGCCAAGTGGAACAGATGTGTCCACCCTAAGCTGAGTCCAGTTATAATGTGGTCGATGATATTTCCCAAAGATGGACACACCCTCTGATACCTACACTCCTGCTGAGATGGGGTCTCATTCCCCCCTTGCATATGGGTGGATGGGTGACGACGGCAGAAGTAATGCTTCGTAACATCTGACACTGGGGTTAGAAAAGGCCTCTTTCCTCTGGTTCTTTCCCCTGAGATGCCTGCCCTTGGACCCAGTCACCATGCAAGGAAGCCCAGGCCAGCCCTGGCGCAGAGGCTTATGTGGGAGGAACTAGGACACCCAGCAGACACCACCATCCACTGCCAGACACATGATTGAATCAGACTTCAGGTGACTCCTCCCCAGCCTTCGAGTTCTCCAGCTGAGACCCAGATACCACAGGGCAGGGGCAAAATAGGCTTACCGTGCCCTGTCCAAATCCCTGACCTGTACTATCCATGAACAAGTGAATGGTGTTTTACACTAGTCTCTTTTGGGAGAGTTATTTACACAACCTTAGTAAACAGAATATACATAAAACCACTTCTGAGTTCCCAGGATGTGCCATGATTTCTCACGCTTCTTCGTGGTCACACATTCTGGTCCCTCTGCTAACTCCCAGAGGGAGATCAGCTGAGATGCCACCTCCTCCTTGGTGGCCTCCTCTGTCCTATTGTCATGCTCACTGTACACACGGTGATCTCTCTGCTCATCTGTCTGATCCTTCCAGCACAGAAGCAGCACAAGGCAGCAGGAAAGCCATGAATCCTGGAGCCAGACCCCTTGGGTGTGGACCTGGTTCTACCACTTAGGAGCTGTGTGGCCTCAGGCAAGTTTCTTCAGTACTCTGTGCCGCAGTTTTCTCATCTACAAGCTGCAGATCACTAGGGCTCCTTCCTCGTGGGGCTGCTGGGTTGGAGGGTGAGTGTGGTGCCTTAGGTGAGCCTGAGCTCACACTGAGCAGTCCACAGTGTGTTACCGATTGTCTTTTCCAGACTGTAAACTCCTTGCGGGTAGAAACTGAGGCTTACCCCCAACAACTACCAGAGGCCCTGGCACACCCAGTGAACATGTAAGAAATGAATAGATGACATGGGCGGTAGCTCCAGGTGAGGCTTAGAGAGGCAGGGCAGACAGGGCAGGCAGCTCCACCCACACTCAGTCCTGTGCTCAAGTTCACCTGCTCACAGATGGTGATCAAGACTTCCCCAAGGTGACCAGACTTCCAGTCCCCAAAGACAAAACCTCCAGAGAACCACAGGGGCTGAAGTTCATCAGCTCCCTCCATGTGGAACCACCCTCCCAAGCCAGGCCGTCCTGCGAGCCACTGAGAAGAGCCTGGTGCCTGAGCTCACATCCTTTCCTGTCACACATACGTCAGCATGTACTCACACTCTGTGTTCAACTGGTCAGAAATGTCCAATTTTATCCATCTCTGAGCTCAAGGTTCTTGACCTTTTAGCAGTGCTCTGGGGTCTGCCAGTCTGTATAATACCAATCTGATGACGATTTCCGTTCAAGAATCATTAGTGAGTCAATAATGCATTCTTCAAGGAGGAAGACAGGCCAGAATCTCTTCCAGATGACTCAACCAGCCACACCAGGACCCATCTAGACAAATCAGCCCCTTACCAGAAAATTACAGAGCCACCCCCAGCAACTTGGCAAGGGTGTTTAAAATGGAGAAGTCAACACAATCCAGGAACAAACACAAAGATATGCTGGCCCTGGACATAAGGAAAGAAAAAAGATTAGGAAGAGGGTTCTCAGCTAGCAGCCTTGTCGCCTGACTACCTTCTGACCATGGTTTCCGCTCTGGTCCCCTGGAGAGGTCCCAAAGAAACAAAGTAACTCTATGTCTCCCTAAATAGGCACTACAGCCTTTGTGCTAGGCTCTGTGCTAGGCCCTGGGGACACATAAATCACCAAGGGACCCACAGACAAGGCCCTCTCGTCTGAAGGAGAGCATCCAGAATGATGTAAGGGAGGTTCGCTCTCTCTCTCTCTTCCTGCTCTACTCTGGACAGTCAGGTACCTAGAACTTTTGGCTCCATCCTAGGTACCTAGAGGCAAATGCACACAATCAGGAGAGAAGGGCCAGGGTGGAGATGAAATGAAGATTGTACTGGATCCTTGAGGCCTGGAGGGGAGACATTAAGAATCACTCTCTTCATATAAGTGCCGCTGATCTTGTCTAGAGGGTCAGACAGGAATCACTCAGTCCCAGGAGTAGATCCTAGGACTTCTGCTTAGTATAAGAAACAATTTCTAATAGGAAGTCTTCAGAGATGGAAGGTAGTGAGCTCTCTGCCAATGGAAGCACGCAGTCAGAGGCTGGGCAGTCTCTTAACAGAGACATTATAAAGGCGTTCTGAGCAACTGACAATTTACAGGTCCTTTCCAACCCCGAGCCTGACCATGGTTCAGGCTTTCTTTCCTCACTGGCAGCTTCTCTAACCCGGAGCAGCCTGGACAGGAAGCTATAGTCCAAGAGGCAGCTCTCCACCCAGCGCCCTCATAAGGGACAACTTCAACAACATAGCCTTGAGGGCCCCCCAAGGCTTTAAAGAGAGGATCCGCTGAGAAGTACACTCTGCAGTCTCTGCCAGCAGCCCCCAGGTCAGGAGTCCTCCTGAGTTCCCCCCCTACAGGTAACTGAGGCACACCTGTCTGTTCAATAGACACTCCCTGGGCCCCTGTTTTGTGCCCTGCACTGTGCATGGAACCTCAATGACCCTGGGTGCACCTGGCCATTCCAAGCTCACCTTCTCCACACACCTTCAGCACCTAAAGGGGCCTCGTGGCCTAGCTGTCTTTGCTACACAGAAACGCTGTGGTTATTTGGAAGACTTGGGGCATTCCATATTTCAGACAACTTGTGGATGAGCCTGGAAAACTCAGTTTTCACCACTTTGGAAAGAAATCTTCTCTGCTCAGTTAATAGGGGCCTCGGACATTCTTTCCTCTTTTTTCCTCGACCGATGATTTTCACGGACAGTAACGGATAAAATGAGCTACAGCTGAGGTGACAGGGACTCTGCCCGGACACAAATGACCCCAGACTCCGAGATGTTCCAAAGGCTGTTCTTTCCTCCTTCCTCGTGGCTTTCCTGTCCTTTATTGATCCCGCTTCCTGCCACCTGGAACGCTTCTGATCGCTCAAGATCATCTACTGGTTTCTTCTGCT